ACCAAAAAAAAAACATTTTCCAGAAAGTAAGATTTCCTAATAAACTTTTTTACGTGAATTATCCATATCCATGAATTGTATTATACCGAAGGAAATGAGTTTTTGCCCCAAACTGTGATTTCATATTCCCTATATCTTTGCAATTCTGTGTTGTAAACCTCTGATATTTAAAACCTAATATTCTGTTAGATAAAATAGCCTTAGTTTAAAATATCAAAGATTTACACCATCGGGTTGCTAATATATAGAGGTTTGAAAACTTGAGATTATGGCAAAAACTCAATTCCTTTGTTTGTAAAAAGACACATTTTGTCAGGAAGAAATCTGAGGAGACATGCTCGAAATATATTTTATTGTGGCATTTCAGTAGACAATCCCTTTAAATTTGCATGCATGTAGTTAACGCCCTACTCCAATAAATCCGTTTGGATTCGTATCAATCCAGGTCCAGGTGTTGGTCTACGAAGCATAAGAGCTAATCAGTTCAATAACACTTTACTATCTATAGTCAATCAGTTTTGCGTAGTTAATGACAGGCAAATTTAGATTTACAGACAATGTAAAGCGTAATATATCTAGTTATGTTCAGGTTAACAAATATGGAGATTTCTACGATATTTGCTACATGCAGGCAGGAAGAAATATAGGAGAATAAGCAGGAAATAATAATGTTATGTGGACATACCAACAGTTAGTAGACATTGCACAACAAATATTAGATGAACATGGGCAAGTGTGTAATGCAAGGAAAGTTTATTGCGTTTGTGTATACTCTGCGTACATATTGAAACCAGTTCTCTTTGGGCGGAAATTGTAAACAAGAATAGATGCATCAGTGTTCGTTTAGTATCCGAGGAGGTTAAAAGCATTAAATTTTGATAATTTTGATAATTCACATAATAGTTTCCAATGACCAGAATATTTCATTGATTTTTTTATGTGAAAGATGGATCCCATGTCAGGCTTAGACATCCGTCTTGTGTTTACATTACCGCCCAGAGACATTACACTGCAGTACAAAAGATGTGTACACTTCGGAAATAACTTTCCTTGCATTACATCCTTGAACATGGGGATGGAGGAAGTTCTTTCAAGTAACCACCCGGCCAGTCCCCGTCATTGACGGTGTCTCGTGTTCGATTCACAGTGGTCCCTTTACAACTTTATCTGAGTAACCGTGAGGAAGATATCGTTGTTTTTTATATTCTAAATTCTGACATTTTAATTTTTTTCTCTTCTGCATAAATCTGCAAGTCTTTGTTCAAGAGAATCATTATTAAAAACTATAGTTTTGTGAAAGAAAAAAGAAAACTTTCTCAAACGAATGTTTAAAGGGTAGTATTAAGAAAAGGAGAAAAGGAAGTTTTTTTCCAGAGCTGAGGTTTAAAAATGAAAACTAATAAAAGTTTCATTATATTTGACGTAAAGAAGAATTGCTAGTTTACCAGATTTTTAAGTTTTTGTAAGAATGAATTATCAAAAAAAAAGAAGTTTTTTTTCAAAACTAATATTTTCTTAATAAATTAACAAAATAGTATCTACGTTATAAATAAGATTAATTGGATGAAGTTGGCATGTCTCAAATGTTTATTTTTATTTAGCTAGGGGAACCAGAGGTTTGGTGACACAGGAATAATACAAACCTGTTAAATTTTCCATTTTCAATCTGTTTACCTTTGTTTAAACCATCCCGTATAGTCTAAATTTCGCAATAAAATATTTTTATATTCCAAAATTTAGGTGTTGTGCCAAATCCAAACAGGTCTCCCTGACAGGCTTGATGTCATATTCAGAACAAAAAGAGATTTCAACTGCAGTATCGTGTTTTTTATTTAATCATCGCATTATCAATTCTGAAAAAAATTGTTAGTTTAGTAAAAAAAGCAGTGATTTTTTCAAAATTTTTAGGAAAATTCATTTGTTTTGTTAATTAACGAACGAATGACAGATTTTTTTTAGAATGATACCATTTTTCATGAAAAATTTTGTTCTTTTCAAAAAAAGCGAAAAGTTGGTTACTCTCCCTCTAGTGGTTTACTGACACAATTACCCCCCTTTTGAACCATTTCATAATTTAAATAATGTAATCAGTGGATTCCTTGTATAACACCAGAGTTAATCTTAAACCCTTCAATTTAAAAGTTTACACTGTGAATATCAAGTACAGCCAATGTTTCTTAGTGCTATCGAAACCAACACCGGTAACTTCTGATTACTCGATTTGATCTCTACTCAATCTTAATATTTAAATCATTTATCTTTGCAACCTGATGTCGTAGACCTTTGATATTTCAAATCGTGAATTGTGCGTGTAAGAAAAGTTCAGTTTGTGGGCTGTGGCACCTTTAAACATTTCATTCTTTATTTCCAAAAAATCAAAATGTCACAATGGGCTATTTTTGTCTAATATAAATGGGGAGAGGGGGATGATCCCCCCCCCTCTTATGATGTTGCATTTAAGTCATTAATTATTTCTAATTTTTCTGAAACACCGACCCGCGCCTTTTGACTGTTCTCCAGTCTACCCTTTTGCATAAAAAAAATTGTTTTTGCAAAATTTGTTCAAAACTATGATGCTGAAGAAGTTAATAAGTTGATAAATAAATCGTCTTTAAGTTATTTAGAAAAAAAAAACATTTTTATTTGAAAACATTTTAAGTTTTACAAACTCAAGTTACAAGATTATTCATAAGATGAGTAGAAATCATTGATCAAGATAGATAAATAAATAGATTATAGATTATGGAAAATGTTATTCCCCCCCCCTCCTCAATGACAATATCCCCCATCCCTTGAACTGACTAAGGACCCCCCCCCCCAACTACCCAAGAGGATGTACACTCAAGTGTGGTGGGTAACTGAGAATCCCCCGAAATTCTTAAAACAGGGCGGAATTTTTTTTCTTAGTCAAAATATTTTAAAAAATGATTAGAACAGCTTATTTAAACTATTTTGAAATTTATCTTTTTAATTTTGTATATTGTCTATAGTTATCCCTGTTCATGTTTGTTTGTATGGATATTAGTATTGTTGTTATTCATACTCGTCTCCTGTATATGTGTTTCTATCTATCTATCAATCTATCTATCTATCTATCTATCTATCAATTTATCTATTTATTCGTTTTTTAAAAATATCTATATGTTTTTTTTTGCGTTCCAGAGGCTTCCTAAAAATCTAATTTTATGTACTTTATCATTCTTCCTCACTTCATAGCGAATTTCATAATGAACGCGCTATAAAGTAATATCGTGCTATAAAGTTTAATTATCTGTACATTATAGCACGTTTGCTTTAAAGTCTTGATTGGTTCCCGGATTCTATCCAAAAAAATAGGATATTTCCAAAGTATTTTTTTCAATTGAAATTAAAATTAAAATCAACTTTATATTCAAAGCTTATTTGATCGAGAAATAGCCATTGAAATAAGACAAGTACACAAACGTTTTATAAAATTACCTCGAAGGTTCTCGCCTTTATAGATTATATTTTGTCCCTCAATAAAGCTCGGGACAAAATTGAATCTAAAAAGACCTGAACCTTCTCGATAAATAGATAACTTCTGTCCAAAACTTTATAACTATAACGAACCAAAATAAGAGTTTTATAAATAGTCATTTCAGCTTTGCAAAATGATGACTTCTGATTTACACTGATATCTATAAAGATTTTAAAAGTTAATAATCAAATTTTTAGTTTAGAAAGCCTCGACTTTATAGCGTCACAACTATACTTAGGCTTTGGTTTTACATCATCAAGTCACGAATACCTTTTTTGGAGCCCTAGGTATTTGTAATTTAAAGATTAAACGCACTTGTTTTCTAGCTTAAGTTTGAAAGAAGTATAAATACTGCACGATTTATACGTGAAATCGTGCAAATCTTGATTCGCAGTGATTATTTTTGAAAAGGGTGCCCAACACTATAACTGTCTATCTATCTATATATATGCTATGCTGGTCTGTTCGTTTGCACCTATAATAAACATCAAAACAGTAGAACCGATTACCCCAGGGAAGGTTTATGAATGCTCAAAGTGACGTTTTGTATTTAGTCAGGAAGAAAGGTGACATAATTTTTAAAGATGTGTTGTAAATTGTATAAAGTAAATATTATTGCACTATGTTGTCAAGGAATATAAAGGAACTTCCATAAAATAATGTGTACTGCAGTTTCTGGGAAAAATGTAAACAAAGCTCCCAGAAAATGCCGTACACACTATTTCATGGGAGTTCCGGTTACATTTATTTTTTAACTTGTTTTGAAAGGTAATTTATTCAAAATTTGAAAATGAATTTTTACTTAGTTAGTTAGTTGTTATTTTTTAATTTAAAATATTCTGTTTGAGTGAAAAAAAGATCGCATGATATTTAAATTCAAGTTAAACAATTTAAAGCATCATATTTTCATATAAAAGCTTGCATGAAAGAACTGGCTTGGCGCATTTTTAGTAACACTTTTACATATGTTAATTTCCAATTTCAATATTTCAATAATGAATTTTTACTATTATATTTTATCAATTGCACTTTAGGAAAAGGTTTTTAACTAGAACAAAATTAAATTGTTATATTTTATTTCAGTTTTAATAACTTCTAAAAAAACACCCAAATTGACAGGCATCTGGAAATTCCAAACATTTGATTAAAAGATTAAATACATCGAAGCCTGAAATTATGGAAAATTGACGTACAACACAATAATGTATCTGTAAATATATTTTTTTGTGAAGTTTTGAAAAATCTGGCTATTACACTCTATAGAGTTTGTGAACAGTCTTTTTTTCTTTGATAATTATCTTTTCTATTGAATAGAGAAATGAATGAATTTTCGGGAATTTTTATTTCAGAGGATTGAAAAAGAGAGAAAATGTCAAGACTGCGTACATTAAAAATAAAAGAGAAAATGACTCACGTAAACCGAAAGTAAATTGAAGAGGTAGTAAGAGAAGAACAAAAATATGTTAAATTTTTCATCTGTAGTAGGATAAATTTGGTTTTCTCATCTTCTGCTTATCATCGAAACTAGAGAAGCCACGAGGTAACAAAGTCGAAGTAGAAATGTCGCAAACATTTGACTTTCTTCTGTTTAGTTTGCAGGGGACCCTCTATGCAAACAATTAAAAATATGAATTCACGCCAGTTTCCTATTAAACCTTTCTTTAATCCAAAAAAGAGAGATAAAATATTTTTATTGCAAAATAATAATGATTAATGCTGCATTTAAGCAATGAAGGACATTTGTCATTTTTTACGATAGAAAAACGATGATATACAATGTTACTGGAATGACATCGGGCAAACAGACATGCCACTATGCTTGTTGGCGTACCTTAAATTAATTACGAAGCCAGATTTTGAGAAGGTTCCAGAAAAACAAGTTTTAATGGAAAAGATTCAACGTAAGTTGTCAAAATCACAACTAATAAATAAAGATGATAGGAAATGAATATTTGCTAAAATCCAATAATTTCTTTTCACACAAATACAAATACAAATACAAATACGAATACAAATACGAATACGAATACAAATACGAATACGAATACGAATACGAATACTAATACGAATACAAATACGAATACAAATACAAATACAAATACGAATACGAATACAAATACAAATACGAATACGAATAATACTAATACGAATACAAATACGAATACGAATACAAATACAAATACAAATACGAATACGAATACAAATGCAAATACAAATACAAATACGAATACGAATATGAATACTAATACGAATACAAATACGAATACAAATACAAATATGAATACGAATATGAATATGAATACGAATACGAATATGAATACGAATACGAATACGAATATGAATATGAATACGAATACGAATACGAATACGAATACAAATATGAATACGAATATGAATATGAATACGAATACAAATACGAATACGAATACAAATACAAATACGAATACGAATATGAATATGAATACGAATACGAATACGAATACGAATATGAATATGAATATGAATACAAATACGAATACAAATACGAATATGAATATGAATATGAATACAAATACGAATACAAATACGAATATGAATATGAATATGAATACGAATACGAATACGAATACGAATACGAATACGAATACAAATACAAATACAAATACAAATACGAATACAAATAATCCCAATTAATTCATATGTAAAAGCAAGGGTTGGCGGAAATATTTTATTTTGAAGGTTTGAAAGGTAAATTCTGTATTTGGTATTTTTGTTGTTGTTACACTTTATTTTTATAAATAATTACTTTCCTACTTAATCATTCATTCTAAAAAAACTTTTCCGGCTCGAAGACTGGTTATTAAAAAGTAATTGCAGAAAATTTTTAATTCTTAAAATTGAAAAAATCCCATTTTCTTTGGACAACTGCAGGCCCTGTACCATAAACAACGAAATTAGTAAAAAAAAGAAGCAATTTTTGATAAATAAAATAAATAAATAAACAAAAAAGACAGAAAATGTTATGTTGTTATTAACTTCATGTATAAATGTTGTCTTTCTTTGAGATTGTCTGTGTTTAAAAGCCGTCTGTGTTTTTGTGCCTGCACGTCTGTTTTTTTGAGTCCGTCTGTCTGTGTGTTTTGTCCGAGTCTATGCTGTCTTTTAATCCGTCAGGGTGTACGTGTTTGGGTCAGTCTGTGTCTTTGTGCCAACTGCTAATCGGTTATATTTGTATCCGTCTGTGTGTGTCCATCAATTTGTTGTCTGTTTTCGTGTTTGTGTCCGTCAGTACGTGTTTTTGTGTCTGTCTGTGAGTGGATCGCGGTGTATGCCCAAGATTGTTTGTGTGTGGGGGGGAGGGGGGGAGACAGGTAGCGGGACCCAGGAGCCGGTATCTTACTCACACAGCACTCTCTCTCTTTCTAGCTCTCTAGCCATCGCTCTCTATTTATCTCTCTCTCTCTGTCTCTCCTCTCCTGTGCTCACAGTCACTGCTCAGTGCTCAGTGCAATCAAAACCCTATAACCTGTAGCAGCTATACGCGCGCAGGCCACGGTTAAAACTTAAATCACGTTAAAAATCATTAAACCCAAGATTTGGAAGAAATTAGTTGTGTTAAATTGTGATTTTATCTTTTACTGAAATATAAAAAACAATCAAAAACAATTTTAGACTTTAAAAACTAAAAGAGATCTCGTAATTCTCAAGAAAAGTACATCGTCAAAGTATGATGTGGAGAGAATTTACCATCTTGGGTATTGCGGAATAATCTGCGAATTCTCCGTTGAATAAATCCGCGGGAAAAGCGGCGGAGAAATCCTCGAGAACTCAGGTAAGAGTGTACACTACTCAATAGTATATATATTCAGGTGCAGGGGTCTAGGGGAGCTACAACGATTAAAGGAGACTGACCAGGTTAGATCTGTGGTATGTCAAGTATGGTTTGGGTTCTTAAAGTAGACCCTGAAACCCCTTCAAGCCATAACACTGGAATTCTTGGTTGAATTCAAACACACGAAATTTTATATTCTCATTTCTCATTCATCACAATTGAATCAAGAATGGGGAACCATTTAATTGAAAATGGTTATATCTTTTATTATTTTCGAATAGTTATAATTTGCTTAAATATACACAAGTTCAAAATTTGTTAAATTATATTTAACGACCCATTTTATTGTGCAGTTTTAAATGCTTATATTTTTTTAGACGTTATACCATTTAGTTAAACTATCTAAATTTTTGATCAATTTTGAGGATTATAGTTTTTCGAAATCAATGTTTGTTTTTTTGGCATAAAAGTGTATGTTTGTTTGTTAGTCGCCAAGTTTTTTAGATTTAAATTTTAATTTCAGCATTTTTATTTTAACTCGCATTCAAAAGTAGTACACACCTTTTATATTCATATTAACAAATTATATTAATTTATTTGACTAAAAACAGTCCAGCTTTTTAAACATATGTTTTGGAACGTTTATTTCTAATTAGTTTCGAATCCTTTAATGTCTTAAGGAGTAAACTAAATCTTTTTCGACATTTTTCTTAAAGCTCCATTTAAAAAGTGGGTTGTGGATTTATGTGACAGAGATAAGAAAGGAAGTTAACAGAATTTAACATTTTTCAAGTCTTCCTCATTGTTTTGTTACTCCGATAAAGCTGTTAAGGGTACCGTTGTGAATCATGTGTCGGCATGTAATGGTGATTAGGGGGGGGGTTTGATTCACAACTGTATCCTTATAACCTAGGGGGGGCACTGATAAAAACGTGGACAATATTGTCGTTTTCTAGGCTTAAAAGTGTTTAATTCTGATGATTCCTATTTGTATTCTTCAGTAGAAATGGGAAAATAAAGCAACCACATTGAAAAAAGGTTTTTTTAAAAGTATGAACATTAATATCTAATTCATAAACGTGATCAGATAGAGCTTTTAAGAATACCGTTGTGAATCGAGCATTGTCATGTTTGCATTGAGGGACTTAAATTTACCACTACAGTTTCATTCAAGGGAGTGTTCGCGAAAAATGAAAGCGGGTATAGGATTACGGCGAAAAATAAGCGCTTTTGATCGCTACTAATCTTACTTCTACCTGTTGCGTCTATAAGGAGAAAATTAATAAATTAATCATACAAATTCAGAAAGTTTTAACCTTCAACTCGGATTGTAAAAAATCAATTTAATTCCAAACAAATCATTCAGATGTTACAACCAATAATCTTCGATAATTTTTTGACGCATTCACGTATTTAGTTATCTTCATAATATTTCTTATTTTTATGATTGATAGTTACTTTTAAAAACATTTATTCCGGTTGCATGGAGGGTTACTTGAAATTACATGAAATTACATTACAATGACGACCTCAACAATAATATATTGGTAACAATATTGAAAGATTAGAACTGGTCAATTCTCCTTGAATATACTTTTGATTAATAAACTTGTATAATTTAAAGGAAACCAAAAATGTAAGTTAGAATGCGTCGCCTCTGAAGAAAACCTGTCAAGGATCTGTTCTAGTTAAGCACAAATGTTTTAAAATCGTTATTCGTAAATAGTTTTCAAAAATATCCATAATCACGATTGCTAAATTGCATGGACACTGATCGCGCGTAAAATTTCTAAAATTTTCGGCTTCTGATTGTCTGTTCGGTTTCTATAACTGACATTTTGATTGGTTACATTTTAGATACTTTCCTGAATATTGATGTAAGATTAAGCTAATCTTAAGATTAATAAAAATAGGAAATCTCGATATCCACAATTCTTAATTTTATTAAAAATGTCATGTTTATTCGGTTAAATATAGAGGTGAAGATATGTGAAGAATAAAATGAAAATGTTTTTTTTCAATTCTTAGATTTGCAATACTTAACATTCATCTAACCATTTTGTTCAAAAATCATCTAAACATTTTTTTCATATTAAAATATTGTAAAAACCTTTAAGAAATTGATTTTGGATTTATGATTAAAATTTTTTTCTTTATTCTTAAAATCTAAACGTAACCAAAACTTGATAGGTTTGAAATCATTTGACGTTGCCAATTTACATTATATATTATAGTTTCGTTTTATAAAATCTTTACCTTTTACCCCCCCCCCCCCCTGTTCCCTCCATTAACTTAGTAGTTAGTATATATGATTACTGTAAACTTCAATTAATAACAAATATTAGAAATGTTTAAAAATAAACCAAGTGTTTTTTCAGAGTTATAAATTAGTGCAATTAGAAAAATTACATTTAAAAGTTTTTAAGGACTCCGAACAAGGCCATCTGTGAAAAAAAGCCTGTAAGCACTTTGTATTTTAGTGCACTTACAACTTTTAATTTTAAGAACTTTATAACTTTTACGTAATTTCAAGTGAGTTATCTATTTACAGAGTTGCAAGGTCGATTCACAACGGTACCCTTCCAAGCTTTGTCTGATCCCGAATACATGAGATATTCACCATCTTCTCTTTTTTATATTAAGTGTTTCTCAACAGGAGTGAATTTCACATTTGTGCTAAAAGCAGTGGAAGAAATTAGAAAAATTAAACACTACAAAATCAAGAATATGTTTCCATTATTGATCAGATAAGCTAAACAGAGTACTGTTGGTCATCAGGTATGTCACGTCAAACTAAAGTAAAATTATCTTAAAATTGAAATACTTCATATTTTTATCATAACTTCTCTTTCCAAAGAGCTGTTGAGAAGAACAAAGATGTTTTGAATTTATAATATAACCAAATTAATAGCTTTTCTTACACTTGAGCGTAAAATCAGAACTAGAGGAGCGACTGAGTCACAAAGCCGTAACAGTAATGTCAATTGAAATTGACCTTCTCCTTCTGGTTAGTTTGCAGTGCTGTTCCTCGGTTATTTGAATGTCACTTGAAACATTTCCGTTAACATTTTTAATGTGAAAAGTACTAAAATTTTGATCTAAAAATATGTAAAAATATCTCTTTTATCTACGCAATATTTTACGATTAAAAGTTTGTGGAAATTTTACTCAAATTAAACTCTAAAAAATGTCGTGTGATGAAAGTTGCTGGATAGATAGATAGAACAAATAATATTCTTAACAAAGTTTATTTTTATAGATCAAGTAATTTCTTTATAGTCCTAAAAATAGGAGGTTTCTAATATTAACTTTGCTAATTATATAGACATATTTGAATGAATAAATAGTGGATATATATGAATAAGAAAATAAATATAGATAGAAAGACAGAAAGATAACTGACAGAAAGAAAGAAAGATACTGATAGAAAGAAAGATAGTTGACAGAAAGAAAGAAAGAAAGATAGCTGACAGAAAGAAAAAAAGATAGCTGACAGAAAGAAAGAAAGATAGCTAACAGAAAGAAAGATAGCTGACAGAAAGAAAGAAAGAAAGATAGCTGACAGAAAGAAAGATAAGTGACAGAAAGAAAGAAAGATAGCTTATAGAAAGAAAGAGAGATAGAAAGATAGATAGATGAAATATAGATGAAAAGAAAGATAGATAGATAATGAAAAGAAATATAGATAGATAGATAAAGTGAAAGATAAAAAGAAAGATAGTTGATTAGGTAGATAGGTAGATAGTTGATTAGGTAGATAGGTAGATAGATGATTAGGTAGATAGGTAGATAGTTGATTAGGTAGATAGGTAGATAGTTGATTAGGTAGATAGGTAGATAGTTGATGACAAGTGAATATTTTCTAATTAAGTTCTATTCAATCTGGAGTTAAATAAATATTCAAACATCTTTTTTATTTTCTAATCAAACTCATTACGATTCAAAGTTTCATCTTGATATCAGGTCACTCGGTTTATCTATTCTCGCACACGTTCTATTTCTTAATAGTTCATTCTTAACCCCCGGCCTGTCATTCAAATTGTTTTTTATATGTTTTATTGAAAGTCTATTGAGAAGAAGATAAATGTTTTGAATATTTAACATGTAACTTAATATTAAGTTCGCATCAAAGCATAGAGGTCGCAATTTTGTCCCAGTAATATCACATGAATTTGACATTCTTCTTCTGTATCACAGCAAACTAGACTTAGTGGCCTCATAGCCATAGTTTTCATTTTACGCATAATTATTAGAATATCATATTAAATTTTACAGATTAAAAATTATATTTTATTCTTCTTGAAAGCTTTTCAATTTAAGGATTGATAATTGAAAACAAAGGTTCATTTAATCATCTGATTTGTCGAATGTTTGGGGAAGACTTTTCCTTCAAGTTTTTTGTTTTGTCTTCTTTTTCGTCATCAGCTTATTTGTTGATATGATTTTTTCAAAATCAAGAAGAAAAAACCCAATTAATTTTTCATGGATTCAATCAATTTTTGACCTGAAAAAAAAGGTTTAAAATCTTCAGCAAAAACTGTATTCCATGTGGTTTCCATGAGTAAGGTTAAAAACAAACTATTAAAGTGGGCGCGTGTGTCCAATGTCCATTTAACAAACTTATACGCAAATTCATTATTTTTTTTTTCATTCATCTCCCCCTTCCCTTGTAATGAAAGGTAACATATTACAATCGACATTAGGTAAACATAGAAAGTAAACAGGAGTTTAAAATGTAAACACGTGAATGGGGGGAACAGGGGAGGGGGGCGGTGTCATTTTCGTTAAACAACTTTTAAGCCTGTTTAGATCTGTATAAACAGTTTGTTCTGGACTTTCCTTTTCTTTTTTCTTATTTCTATTTCATTTTTCCAAAGTGCAATGTTTCTGCATTTATATTTGTACAGGTGAATGGGAATACAGACAGACAGACTGAGAGATAGACAGATAGATAGACAGAAAGACATTCAGACGAACAGATATATAGACATACAGACAGACAGATAGATAGACATACAGACAGACAGGTATATAGACATACAGATAGACGTATAGACCACCTTCAACTAAGTGATTTGCAGTAAACTGACCGAAGAAATAGTGAGTTTTAGTGGAGAGTGAGACGATAAACAGATAGACAGATTAGACAAATAGATAGATAGATAGATAGACAGATAGACAGATACTAAATCTGAACATTTCAGTTTGAGTTTTAGTGGAGAGTGAGACAGATAGACAGATAGACAGATAGACAGATAGACAGATAGACAGATAGACAGATAGACAGATAGACAGATAGACAGATATTCACAGCGGGGTCCATAGTCCAGATAATTTCATCTAAAATTGTTAAAGGATTAATATTTATCATAAATGGGTTCAATCCTGATACAGATTTAATTTACAAAACTTTAAAATTTTTACTTTTTTATAAAATGTACATCATCAGTAGTCCTCTTGCTGATTTTCTCTGAATTACAGAAACCAATTTATTCCAAATTTGGACTGTGCTTGAAATAATTAGGACTTTGCTTGAAATAATTATAGGACTTTGCTTGACCGTTCAGAAAATTTTGAATTAATTTTACTTTGTGTGATTTTTAAGGTTAATAAATGTGAAATGCATCGATTAATTTATCAATTTTCTAATAATTATTTTTAGATTGCTTATAACGTAAATATCGGAATTGATAAGTTTATTATGGGTGGTAAGAAATGATAATATTTAAATATATTAACATTTTTTTTGTTTTATTTTTAGAAAAAATTATTTTTTTATGTTTAGTGCGTATCTTACAACAACAAATACGACTGAAAAAAAAACAAATATTCAAAAAATCAAAAATTAAGAACTTTGAATACAAGATAATTCACGAAAATGTTAATTATTCGATTATATCATCTGCTCTTGAAATAAATGTATAGCAAAGGATAAATTAAAAATACGTTTTTAGAATTTAAGCTTTTTGTTTTCTTAATTTTTAGTATTACAATTGGGAAGAAAACAGAACAGAGGGAGGGAGGGGGTGAATGAGGAGGGGGGAGAAGTGAATGAGGGAGGGGGGTGTTAAAAAATGTCTGTTGAAAAGTAGTTAAAGTTAGTCCTGATTGTATTCCTATTGTGCACCGTAGAGTCAGTTAAATTCAACATGTTTTTGTTTGGAATCCTCTCAGTTTAAATCTGTTTAAGACGCTTCCAACAGTGGAGCAGTCTACCCCAAAAAAGACGTTTCAGGTAGCGAAGAAATTAACCCGAAAACAGTACAGTACTATGATATGGATAAAAGAAACGTATAATTTTATTTCTTGAAATTTTTTTTTGTCGTTTGGCAGATGCCCGCGAAGCTTTTTTGGGGTAGATTCCTCCACGCGGTGTTCATTCATTCTGACTTTCTTGGCAGCTATGTGTATACAATAGGTCCAAATTGAACATAACATTATATATATAGAGGAGACCAACGGTCAAACATATGCTGTAGGAAAACCAAACCACAGAGCTAGCTTACAACTTGTTTGGGGAATATAAAACCAAACCACAGAGCTAGCTTACAACTTGTTTGGGGAATATGAAACCAAACCACAGAGCTAACTTACAACTTGTTTGGGGAATAAAACTCAAAACCCGCATTGCACATTTGTTTCTTTTGTGAAGTGTTGTGAACTTGGAAGAACTTAATTTTCTTTTTAGAAAAAATCCATTTTTCCAATCGCATCTTTTAAATCTTAAGTCGGTTTGCAATGTTAAAAATATAATTTTTCGAGGTAAATAAATTGGAACCATAGAGTTTTAAGCAATATGCATTTTGATACAACATTTGTTAATCAATCAATCGATTTCCCCGAAATTTTTTACTTAAAACAATATTTCTGACGATAAAAAAATGTGCACATCGGTGAAAAAATATGTTTAATATTAGTAAATGATTTGTTAAAAAGAAAACACCCTTGATGTAGAGGTATTGAACTGACTTAAGTTCAAATCTCATTTTGCGTAGAAATGGGTTAAATATGTGCATTGGAATTATTCATGATCAACAGTCTTTTCTCTAGAAACTTAAACATTGCTAAGATTTATAAAGCCGATTAATGATTAATAGATTAAATTAGCTTTCCTTTAAAATGTGGTGGTTTTAAATTTGTTTATTTAATGTTGATAGATCATGAATAATTGAGTTTAAAAACCTGTTCATGATTAATTAATGGGATATTTAGCACGTGTGCCACCTCCCCCTGCTACCCTTTTTAAAACGTGTGCCCCCTCCCTAGGCTACTACCCCCCTTTTACAACGTGCCCTATCTGTATGGACCTAAGTTGATTTAGTATTTTTCCATTAAAAAAAATAAAATTGTAAGCTTCGTTAAAAGGAAATTTGGGGTTTTCGAAAAAGCAAAAAATTTTTCGCGGATAAGCGTCTTTTTCAAAGATTTTAATCAAGTCTACGATTTTCACGATAATATCCTTAAACATATAGAAGTGAATTTTATAAATCTAGAACCTTCCATTGCGTAATAACTAGCGATTGTTTTAATAGAAATTAATCACTTAAAAAATAGTAAACAATGAAAATTGACAACTAAATGCACTTATTATTTTTTTAAATAAAACTAGTTTCAGCTCTCAGAAAAATTCATGGATTTCACTCTGTAGGTAGAAACATTCTTGAAATGTATGGCTGACTCAAAAATGATAAATCATTAAAACTTAGGTGCGCCTCCCCCCCGTCGTCATCCTGCCGCCTCATTAAGGTTTTCAAATGGAATATTTTAGACGAGAAAAATGCTAGATTTGGTTTCATTATTTTCTTTGCCATGATTCTATTATTAACTAATTTTGTAAACAGAATATTTTCCTGTAATCTGTTTTAGACAGCAAGATAAAGGTAGTGAATAGTTGGAGTTAAAAAATACTACATTTCCATATACGGTTTACAACGCTGTATGGACATCTTTCATTTATAATTTTTATTCTTCTGGCGCATTTATGCTGCAGAAAATTTGAAGAAAATTTTCAGAAATAATTCCACTTCTCAAGCTATAGATAAACTATTAAATCGTCTTGAGTATTGATGATCGGTGAGACTGAGCTCCCTGTTTTATAAAGAAATGATTGCAAATGCATAATCTCTGGTTCATATTTTGTCTGTGTTTGCATGTTGCATTTTCAGTATACGACACAAAATTCGCATACTTGAAATTGTAACTTAGTGCAAATTTTGGCGGCGTTGAATATTTGCGGGAATTTTGCGGCGGGTTGAGAATTTAGAAAAAAATTTATGTTCAGTTTCAATTGTACAATTATCTGTATGTACAGTTAAAAATGTGTACTGTGTAGTGTTCAATGTAAAGTTTACAGTGTACATTTTATGATAAACATTTTTCTGTATAAATATAAACTAAAAAGCTGTTCTTGAGACTGTGTGATTTATGCATNTTGTGCCCATTTAAAGGTTAAGCGACGTGACGTGATAATTCTAAAAATCATCAGATAATTAATCTCAAAAAGCGGCATATTTTACATCACTTTCAGCCACTTTCATTTGAATATTCCTAGATATGTTAAAAAAAAAATTTTTCATTCCTCCTCCGCAGTTGGAGTTCTGAAGAAACTATACTCTTTTTACTCTTAATGCTATTCAGAAATAGTTTTTAAAAATTGCGTTCAATTAAATTACAAAATCTTTAAAATGCCATCTATCTATTTGTTTATATATTCATCTATTAATCTATCTATTTGTATATTCAATGTTCATCTATCTATCTATCTATCTATATCTCTGTTTGTATTGAAAGCAGTTGACCTGTCCCCTGTTTTCTTGCAAACATTTTTTAAACGGAATTCTCAAATAATTGGCCCATTCAGTCCTAAAAAGGGTAAATTCTGAAGATGCTAAAATGGACTCTCAAAACTGTCCATTCTAAAAGGTTTTAAGCACCCAAACACATTAAGAATGTCAGACAAAATTTTATTCAAACCCGCCCCCCTCCCTCTTTCATTGTAGAAATAATATCATAGTTAACCATCAAATAAACATTCTCCTTGTTATAAATCAAAAAATTCTTGTCTACAAAAAAACCCTCCCTCCCCCCAAGAAATATATATTTACCAGGAACCGCCATATCTAATGCGTCAAATTTGTGTACTGCAGTGGGAGGCGATCAAAACAAAGAATTCAGGGGCAAAACATCAATTATGAGAGGGGGGGGGGGGTTGAAATAAAGTATATTGCTATCGTAGACACGAATACTGATTATAAAACGAAAGACTATTTGTTACTTGAGAGTATATGCTTTAAAGACAGGAGAGGGAAATGATAATATCCAAGATTATATTCAAATTGTGAAACGTTATATAAATTGGGATGTTTTAATAAAAGCAAAAACAATTCCTCACTCCATGGGAATCAATGCAAAGAGGAATTGTATACATATTTCAATGCGTAACAGGACTGCACAGTGCACACATGATTGTGTCCCTAATATATAAAGATGCATGCCTGATTCACAACGGTACCTTTAAAAACTTTTCGGGAAATGCCCATTAAATATTAGTCATTAAGACATAAAACCTTCTAACATAAAATTCGAGAAAAATGTTATCCATATCATAATATATTTATTCTTATACACTTTTTAACATTCTATTTTAAAACAAGGAGACCATCAAGCTTTTAACTACACCATAATTCTAAAACATAAATTGAGCAGTCAGTTTTAGTGTTCTGACATTATTTTTACTATTTTCCTTAAAGATTACAATGAGTTTTTTTCAGTCTACTGAAAAATCTAACATTTACAAAAAGTTTAATAACTTCCCAAGGCCATCGATTGCTTATTGCAGCAATAGCTGAAATTGTTTTTTCGACTGGATCTCGACCTCTATCCAGTGACTCTCCATGTATTTTTTGAAATATTTTCTCTTATTTCTCAACTTCTTCCAAAAGATCTTTAGATGGATAAACCAGGGATCCTCTTGATTTTAATTCTATCCAATCAGTTTGTTTTATCCTCACTGACTCTGTCAAGGCCGGGAACTTTTGTTCTGAGTTTTTTGGCAATAAATCCACATACATATATAACTGCCTGTTTAGAGGACTTTATTTGTGCTGAATTGTCCGCAATCATAGGTTCCTGAAAACAGATAAAGTTAGCCGTTTAGGGAATAAGACTAAGAATGAGTTGCATTTTATGTTTGATAACTCTCTTTAGGATTAGAAGTAACAACTATGAAAATAGGTATTTTTAGAAAAAATTTATCATTTAAACATTGGGAGGAAGGATACTAACGTTAGAAAGAAGATTCAAATGTTGGGAGGAAGGACTAAAATCTAAAAATGAAAGATTCAAACGTTGGGAAGAAGAATGTAAGCCTTGGGAGGAAGGATGTAAAACTTGAGAGGAAGGAAACAAACATCGGCAGGAAGGGTTTAAACCTTGGGAGGAAGGATACAAACATCGGCATGAAGGGTTTAAACCTTGGGAGGAAGGATGTAAACCTTGGAAGGAAGGATTTAAACATTGAGAGGAAAGGTTTTAAATTTTAAAAGAAAGTTAAACCTCGGAAACAAGGATAAGTGGGAATCTTTTTACCTTGCTTCTCCTTTATATTTGAACAAATCTCACTGAGCATGAATAAATTTTCCATATTGATCTGAAACCCAAAAATCATATTTAAATAAATAATTTGTATCCGCACTAATTTAATATATTAACTAGTTTCTTTTGTTTTTGACTGTAACATCACTCTGTTTATCAGTGTTTAATCCTTTCTCTTCAACTGCTGTGGGGGCACTGGATTTGTTTACATTCCTCCCACAGTGTACAGTACACAATTTGCGTATATCTGAGTTGGGCGTTCTTGGTCTATATATTTGTTGCCTCCCCCCATCTGATTTATTTAAATTCCCCCTGCTCTTCAGAATTATTCACACGATCTGCGTATTTTTCAAACTAGATATTTCTGCGCAACCTTGGGCGCGAAAGTTTGCGTAAGATTAATGCCGACATGCGACTCAAAACAAAATTAAATCTATGGAATAGGAAAAAAATCTAGGGTGCTTCCCCTCACGGTAACTCAGGCAGCAGCAGAAAAGGGAAGGAAAATTTAAATAATTCCATTTGTTCAGTACAATAAAACAAATTAATACAGTTGATTTTCTTATTTTTGGTTGTTAAAGTGGCAGAACAATTCCTTTCAAATAGATTTTTGATTTTCATCTTTTTTTGCAAAAAGCTAAAGTACATAATAATATAAAAAGTTGTTTAAAAAACAACATAAATTTTGTGTACTTTTCTTTTATAATATTTTTATTTTCCCGAGGTTTACTTTTCATCTTTTTTTTGCAAAAAGCTAAAGTACATAATAATATAAAAGTTGTTTAAAAAACAACATAAATTTTGTGTACTTTTCTTTTATAATATTTTTATTTTCCCGAGGTTTACTTTTCTATTTAAAAAACAAAGTAAATATTATTGCATTTAATTTTACAATATTTTATAAAATAAACGGTTTTTACATTAAATATTATATTTATAAAAAATTTAGGAAATTAGAACGCTTCGAACCTTAACTTTAATACGGTATATATACACAGTATAATACTTTGATTTTTTTATGCAAAGAGAGAAAAATTATAAATTCCTTTATTTATCAAATGAACAAATTCAGTTATAAAAATCTCAAATCATTTATTAAACATTTCTTTTCTAACTCGAAGGAAGAAAAAATAATTTTAGTGGGGGTGTGGTGTGGGGGGGGGGGTTGTAAGTCATATTTCAAGAAAACATAATCTGTGCACTTCGCCTAAACCAACCATCAAGTCAGTTTTTTTAAATCAGTTAATTTATGGTTTTCTTTAAACAAAATCCCCCCCCTCCCCCCCAGATTTATCAACCTACTGTATGAAAGTAGAAATATTAACCCTGCAATTTTTCCAGGAAAATGTTGATATTCAATCCCAGTAGATTATATACGTATCAAATATTATGATTTTATCATTAGAAATCAGTCACATTGAAAGCGCAATTTCTTACAGGAGGGGGGGGGGCGCACACCCACAGGCTTTTCATACAGTAGGACCCATTAAACCGTGGCATTATATATGCACTTGTTGTTTTAGATCAAAAAACTTTACAAATAGCTTGAGTGTACAGTTATATGTACTATTGATGTTTTTATTATTCAAACTATTTAGAATCATAACAGTCGTCTTTTATGAGTGCACACTATTTTAAATTCATGAGCTTTCTCAAACTTGAAATTGAATTACTTACTTTTAAAACAATTTCGAGAATGTTTTATATCGTAAGAATCGATCAAATTTGTCCATGATATTAGTTGAGTAAAATAAAGCTAACACATAATTTAATAAATATTTCAAACAGTTTATTTGATATGTTAACTGTTATATCTGCAATCGCTTAAAAGTATACATCGTAAAATATCCAAGTTTTATTGCGAATTCTTCTGCAACCTTTTTGCAGATGCACAAACCCTGAGCATTATGGTTCTAAAGGTGGTTCGGGGCGAACCTAAAATGGTTTAATCGTCAGTTAAAGAGCTGCCTTTTTACTTTCCTCTTTATTTATTGGAAGCCACCAAATTTCTGTTAATCAAGATTTTTTCTGCAAATAAACAAATAAAGTAAAATCGACTTATTTTCATTATTATTATCATGGCAAAAAAGTTTATACAATTTCTTTTATTTTCCAGGTATGTGTTCCAAGCAGCAAAAATCTGAAAATAGCGAAAATAGCAGAAATTTTGCGAATTTTGTAAACCCTGTAGCTAATAAAGCCCTGCCGCCCTTATTAACCCTGGATGGGTGGAGGGGGGGGGGGTCTTGTAACACCTGAAGTAAACAGTTGATCTGCCTAAGGCATCAAGTCATCTCAAATTCGAGTAAATTTCACCCCTAAAACCAGTAGTTACTTTTCAGGGACTTCTCAATGACCCGTTTTGGGGACCTTCAGTTCTCAAAAACCCTGAAAAGTTGAATCGTTGGTGTGTTTAAAATGAATTAATTATAATTTTGTTCATTGTATCGTAGTCTTTGCTTACTTAACATTAATAATTTAAATCAGTTAACTTCATGCACGACTACCAGAATACTTTAATTTCTATATATATCCAACTTAAGTATTATAAATTATGTATAGTTTTATAAGAAATGCAAATATTGCCTAAAACAATTTTGTGATTAAAATTGCCAAATCTTAAGTCAATTTTACGTTTTCCATGTTAAATGAATAACTTCTTAACATTTATACCGCCATAATTCCTCTTTTAAAATAAAATTACCCCCCACCCCCCATTTTTGAACTCCCTAATAATCCCAATGGGTTACCCTGCGGTGAGGGTATATTCGAAAAATTTTACGTTGTTAGAAAAACTTAACAAAACCCATCGCAGCATTTGACCTAACGAAAACTTTGATAGAATTATCCAGTACAGAGGATCCTTACTTAAGAAGAATCTCAAATATCTTTGATAGAATCTTAGAATACTTTGATAGAATCTCAGTTATACTTCGATAGAATCCAATAATACTTGGAGAGAATCTGGGACTATATCGATAGAATCTTAGAAAACGTTGAAAGAATCTCTAAATACTTTGATAGAATCTCAGAATACTTTGATATAATCTAAGAAAACTTTGATAGAATCTCATAATACTTCTATAGAATTTCAGAAAATTTTGATAGAATTTAAGAAAACTTTAATAGAATCTTAGAATACTTTGATCGAATCTAAGTTATACTTCGATAGAATGCAAGAAAACTTTGATAGAATCTCGGAATACTTCAATAGAATCTTAAAAACGCTGAAAGAATCTCTGATACCTTTGATAGAAACAAAATGTTCAGTCTTGAGAAAAACTGATATTTTAGTAATAGAAATGTATTTTTTATTTACTGAGGGGTCAGAATTTTAGGGCACCATTTATCTAGATAAAAAGCACTGTATGGAGGAGGAGGGGAAGATTGGGGAAGGGGAGGGGGTATGAAGGATACCTATATTTTAATGTTAATTCTTAACATTTAACCTGAAACAGCCCCCGGATTACACTCTCATCTTGGATGGTCGGGTTGAG